TAATTTAAACGTAATAAATATCAAAATTTTGTGAATTACATTATTTTACGCAATGATTTAAACAAACTGAAGACCTGTTTTCGATTTACATTTCATTCCAAAGGACGATGATCTTATGTGACATTTTGAACTAGAAAATATGTAATTAACAATACGTGTGTACGCGAATAGTTTGAATGCTTTCGAAAATTTTCTATATTAATTTACATATGAATACATTACATATCAAAAATATTTTTATTAGATGAGAACAACTGATCGCGCGAGAGATATAAATAAAGCAAATAATCGATCGAAATCGAAGCACTGTTGATTCGAAATTCTCGAACTATTCGATTTCGAATCTTGCAGATTCGAAAACTCGAATCGAATCCACTGCGATTCGATTCGATTCGAATTCGAACTATTCGCACACCTCTACTAACATTATGCGTAATATAAAAAATTATCAACATCAGTCTGGATGTCGTACTTTCCCCATCGTTTATCGAAGCAGGCAGTTTGCGTGCGATTAGAAATATATAGATAAAAGTTGGCTTTTAAATTTACAAATTGCACACGAAATATTCCATTGCAAAGTTTCCTTGTATCATCCTCGACGATACTCGTACAATCTGCTTGACATATCATTGACGTGACGTAGAGGGTAGTTGGGGTGGCGGGGGGGAGGGGGAGGGGGGAGGGAGGGGGCCCTTAATCATGGCGCTCGCAAAACTTAACCGAACAATGCCGGCGCGCACGAATCCTTTCACGGTGTATTACCTATTATAGAGATCAGCGCCGGCATCAGCGCGGATAAGTCAAATAACGTTAACAATGGAGAATTTCAAGTTACTTCCAGCGGCAGCGTTGTGAATCGAGCGATTGAGTGTTTGAACGGCGGTGTCGCCTCGGGCGGCTGTGTTTGCAGATATAAGGGACTCGGGGGCCGGCGCGGGGGGGGGGGGTCTCTCCCCGGCAAGGTTGAGGGGGAGTTCAATTGGTGGCAGCAATCCTAGTAATGTACCCGTGGGGCCGTGTCAAAGTGCTCTCTCTGCGCGAGAGCACGACGTTGCATTCTGCATTCTACACCTTCATTCTTAGGAGTGTGGAACGGCGCGCGCGGCGGCGGGGGTAAAGGTGGACGAGAGGGTTGGAAGAAGAGGCCGGTGTATGTATGTACAAGCGAAGGCGGGGGGGGGGGAGGAGGATAGGAAGCGGCGGCGACTCCTATCGGAATCCTTCCACTTGTGTCTTTCATCTTTCGACTTATCGATAAGATAACAAAGATACCTGCGGGAAATGAATAATTCACGGGAGTTGACAAATCGTGAATATTTGAGCGATGGAACAGAAATTCGGGGAACGGAAGAGGGGGGGAGGGGAGGGCAGGGGCACGTGGAAACGAGGCTGCTCGTGGATACGAGCAGCTGTAAAAATGTGTGACGGAATATATATATATATATATATATATACTTGTATTGTTTGTACGGACGACTACGCGAATCGAGGGCGATACACGGCTCTTCTGGCGTCTCGCGAATAATTCATATAAGGGTGTTACTTGCTAAAAATATTAGAGAGAGAGGGGGGGGAGGGAGGGGGAAGAGAGAAAGCGTGTAAATTGTTTATATGCAGAAATAAGGTCTAATTTACATACAAATCACTCGACTTCAATGGGAGTGATCGATACCACCGCCGCCGCATCAGCATAATTTGATTTAAACGCGCCCAGGAGTTTCGCATCGCGGAATAACGTCGAGTTGAATCGAGCGCCGAATATGGGGGGCCTTTTTGTCTCCCCTCGTCACGATCCGGTGCGAGGACTGTTGTAAAGGTGAAAGACGGGCAATCTCTGCGATAGCCCGTTTTCTTATTCCGCGGAGGGATTACGATCGCGTCACGCGTTTAACGGCACCGCGCGAAATCTGGCGATTTAATTGAATGTAGGTAGGCGCGGACGACCGCGCTGGCATACATTTTAATTCTGCAGACGCCGCGCGCGCGCGCGAATAGGCCTTCAGTCTTTTCGCACCTATATACGCGCCCCGGCGACTTCGCGTTTAAAAACCGACGGCTAAATAATGTATATCACAGCGGCGAGAGCGGGCGGTAAAACAGTTATAAAAACACCGGCAACTACGTTAGAGGATCAATTATTTAGGATGTACAGCTCCGTAAAGAGAGAGTAGACCAGTCGTAAAGGGGGCGGAAGAAAGTAGCGCTCCTAGGACGGGTTTGACGGGAGAAGGGGAGAGGCGGAAGCTACCGCGGGAGTTATAAAGGTTGCAGTTAAAAGTTCCTTGAATTATCAAGGGATTGACTAGCCACAGCGACGATAGTTGACGGCTTATTTTAAAATGACACGCTGAAATTTCAATTCTGCGATATCCAGCGCATTTGAAGATAAAAGTCCCCTCTTAATTATAATAGTTGCAAATTCATAATTTCACTTATCTTCGACTGAATTGATTTTATATAATCGTCGATAATTATAATGCGAAATAACAAATTGGTCTTTTTTATGTCTGCTATGTGAAACGAGGCGAGAGCGAAAGAGGGAGAGAAAGGAAGGAAGGAAGAAGGAAAAGAAATATACATAAGCGATTTTATTGAAAAATAGATAATGAGTTTATATATATATATTTTTTTTTAATACAAAAAAAGACTTTATTGTCTATTAGACATTTTTAGAAATTATATAAAAATCTTTCTTATTTAATTTAATGAAAAAAAGGGAGGTCAATCACATAATTGATGATAAATTAATAAATGGATAATACACGTACATTTAATAAAGAAAAATTCACAGTTAAATCCGCAAATATTGATGTCAGAGTAATACAACTACTTAAGAAAGGCTATTCCACTATTGATTATTTTGCTGCATTATTACAGTAATATTCCGGATAGAGCGAAGCCTGTTTTGACTTTGAATCTACGTGTTTTAAAGACTGTGGAACACCATTTTGCATCACGAGTGTATGAATAGTTATTTCCAAGCCATATTTTTGCCTGCTGAACACGAATTTGTTGGCAAAAGTTGGCTATCACGTCACAATTTTGAGAAAAATAACATCGTTTTCGGTTCCTTTGACACATTTTTTCAAAATTATGACGTCATTTCTTTAATTTTCTGTAATTTTTTAGAAAATATCAAAGTGAGACAAAAATAATAGTTATTTCTTAATTTTTAAGCAAATGTTTAAATAAGAAAAACACGTAGATTTTATGGGAGAGAAAAGGGTTGTGATATCTTGAATTTATCAGATACACATGCTCTTTTTTGTCATGCAAATACATGTACTTCCAATTAATTTAGAACAATTGTACATAATTAACTTTGCCAACTTTGTGTTCAGCAAGCAAAAATACGTCGCAAATAATTATTTACACTTGCGATAAAAAAAAATTAAATTTTGTCAAATAGCTACATAAGGACAATGCATTTAACTATGTGTTCAAATTGTTATATCTCGGAAACAAGAAATCATATCGTAATAAACCAAAATGCATTTTAAAGCTAAAAGTTGAGGCTTTCACGTGACATAATCAAAATTAAGCAAAAAAATTTACTGCTGGTGCTGCAGCGTCTTGAAAATCCTTAAAATTGTCATTTTTGGCCTCTTTGAGGCCAAATGAAAAATGTCATTTTTCTCAAAATTGTGACATGATAGCCATCTGTGTCTACGATAAAAGTTTCGTATTTAGTAGGCAAAAATACATTGATTATTCACACTCGTGATACAAAAAAAGATCAAATTTCGTTCTGCAGTGATATTTATTTATTTTTTTATATATCTATAAAATATTGCAAAAAAAGTAACACAGTGTTAAAATTTCTATCATTGATATACATTTTTCATTCTTTAAAATCGTATCTTTAAAAAATACGAATTTGCATAGAATTAATATAAAATTTAAAAGACAGTAACAGCTATTAATTGCACGTGTGATCGCAAATTTTATTTGTTTGACTTTTTTTCAACCTCCACAGATTAACTGATGCAACACTTCTCTGCAGCACTTCTGTGTTAATTGTACTATTTTATGTAACATAATTATTAATAATTATTAATAAATATTGCTTTTATTGTTATATTATATTATAAATATCGTTATGTATAATAAATATAATTTTCTAAATTCTATCTTTGTTAAATATTAACTGTTGTTACAACATGATAAATTTATATAGTATCTAGTTTTCTGTTTTAAATTTAAGTATCGCATTGTTTGCAAATAGTCTCTTATTAAAATATTACAATATTATATATGTTTAAGTTAATTTTTATCCAAATATTTTATTAACCTTGTATCTTAAATATTGTCTGATTGTAAACGCAATCAGAATGCATTTATTATTAATGTGTAATTTCTTTCGGTAGACATCTGTAAATTTAACCAAATATTTATAATAAAATCAACTACAATATACTATATATATTTTTTAAGAAATTAAAAACATGAATAGTGTGCTAAATTTCTGCAATTTTTTAGAAAATATTAAAGTGAGATAAAAATAATAATTATCTCTTAATTTTAAAGCAAATATTTAAATAAGAAAAACACCTAGATTTTATAAGAGAGAGAAAGATTGTGGTATCTTTTAAATTTATCAGATACACATGTTCTTTTTTGTCATGTAAATGCATGTACTTCCAATTAATTTAGTACATTTGTAACACATAATGTAATGGCCGTAATGGGGAATTCGAGGTACTATTTTCTCTCTTATTTTCGAAAGTACTTATGTCTCTAGAATTACGTAAGAGATTTTATTCCAATATGTACTTCCAATTTTTGGCGATATTTGAGTACGGGTGTATCTACACCCTTACCAAATAAGAGTGTATTTGCACCCTCATTAGATAAGGGTGTACGAGTCTGTTTGCATAAAGATGTTAACGTCTCGAGATCAGCTGAAGTAATGAAAAAGTTTGTTACCAACGGATCAAAGTTACCATTCATGAATTTCGGTATATTATTAGAGAGAACGTATAATTTTCGAGACTCATTATCGATAACTATATCCTGAGGAAATACCAACGTTGTATTATCCTGCGCCACCAATTCTGCAAACAAAAATTACGTATTATTTTAATATGTTGTAATACGAATTTATTAACGCAGTCAAACATAACAGCTGTTTATAATTATTCATTATTTATTTAATTTTGTTGAAACATTTTCATGTATATATGCTTTGCTATTTGTGGACTTTAGAGACATCTCTGATAAAGTATATGAACTATAATGTCGATATAGATGTTATTCCAATAATTATAAATTTTATCGAATGAGAAAGATGCAAATGTGTAAAATTTTGCAACTTATTAAATGTCTTTATCACAATTATTTTTGAAACATTAGATATTAAAAGATAAAAAAATGTTTAATATTATCAGTTAATAAAAGATTTATAGTCAGTTAATTAAATTCGATAAAATGTTTTGTCTAATAAGAGATTTTATTAGTTACTTGACAAAGATGGAAAATAAGGATACTATTAGATAAAAAGTTAATTTAATATTGACATATTAAAAAAGTATATTTATATATTTATGCAAGTGGTTATATAATAAGCATTTTCTTATATATACTTACTGAATGTTTCCGGATTCAATTCCGTCGTAATATCCCAACATGCGATACCATTTCTATTTACTTGAGTAAAATAGTCGATACATGTTTTCGGATCAATAATAGAAGATGGTCCTTGAGTCAATTGTCCCTTGGTGCCAGCAATGCGGAAATTACTATAGACCTGTGATTTTTGATTGTCCTGCAGAACATCCGTAGACACGGAAAACTCCGTGATACCGGACATGGAATGGAAATAAAGCGTTCTACTTCCGTCGGCATAAATCGGTGACAGCGACATTCCGAAAACGCCATCAGTCCATTGGAAGTTATAACCGCTAACATTGTAATCACCTGCCAATAATAGAAACAATTAAGCAGATCATGAGACAATAAAATAAATTTTAATATAAGAACAGCTCTTGTATCTAGCCTTGAAAATGGCCAGATTAGAAATTTATTATAATTTAATTTAATTTAATTTCTACTAATAATTTAACTTAATGATGTGCAATCTTTCTTAAACTGAGAACCATTTTTAGAGGCAAAATCTTGCCGTATAATATCTATTTGTATATATATACATGTATATAAAATAGTAAATGCAATATAAATATATATATATATATATATATATGTGTTTATTTTATATGTATAAACACATACATAAAAATATAATTTTACATATATTTTTGGCAATGAGCTCGCGGGCTGCAAAAAATTAATTGGTAGGCCGCAAGAAATTAATTGGCGGGCTAGAAAAAATTAATTGGTGGACCGTAAAAGATTAACTGGCGGGTTGCGCGTCACTCATAATTAAAGTCTTATGATGCGTGGACAAGGCAACATATAATTGTCTTTCGACATTACCGTTCAACGGATCGAAATGGAAGAAATTATGATTAATCCGCCAAGAATCGTTTTTTTCCCAGCTGTACACCACTATGCCGTACGCGGCTAAGTCACTCATATACGCGAATGCTTTGTCGCATTGTTCGGGCGCAACATCGATCACAAGATCGGCAATGAACGTTTCCGGCTTCACGTCTGTATCCTTCAAGGTATATTTGCGTATAATCTGCAATACGTATACATGGATGAATAAAATAACTTAATTGTAATACAAATTCGAAACGGTTCTACAATCGATATTAATTTTAAAATTAATATCGATTGTAGAAATTCATTTTTTTTTTTAAATAAACGATACCTTGTTCGTTTTCAAATCGATAACAATTAGTCTCATAGGTTGCACAACTTTGGTGTCTCCCAAAATGTCGCTTGCTCCTGTGTCAAGACCCCACAAACGATCGCACGTATCGATTCTGACACGGAATATGCTTACGAGGCCGTCGGGTGAACTAATGTTATTTGCTTCAAGATCAGGATACGGCGTTAAAACTGGACTGTCTATACAAATAATAAAATATGATACAGATCTCTTTATCACGAGTCGAAGATATTTCGGAAGATTTTTCGCTAAGTGTACTGCTACACTTGAAATTTTTCAAATTACTCTTGCATATAAAATTGGAATTTTCAAAGAGTTTAATTAATAAAATGTTTCCGTACGTGCATGTATAACATCTAATATAATAACATACAATCTAATTGTGAGAGAAAGAACCGCGCACGATTTATATGAAAAAATAATTCCGGTCAAATTTCTTTGTTTTGAAATTTATGTTGTAGTTTTTGTGATTCTGAACGAATGTTTCAATTGCTCCACTTTTACCTAAAATCAACAGATAAGGAGATATAGAGCTTTGAAGTCGTACAATTCGAGTATCTGTCACATCTCCTTAAAATAGATGCTTTCTTTTATGTCGTAATAGCTATATATATATATTAATATATATATATACATATATATTAATAACACACACACACACGCGCGGAACACTCAACATTTAAGAATACATGCGTGTGTATACATATATATATATATATATATATATATATATATATATTCTTAAATGTTGAGTGTTCCGCGCGTGTGTGTGTGTATGTCTCTCTATTTGTTGATTTTAGGTAAAAGTGACAGTTGAAATATTTGTTCAAAATTATGAAAACTACAACATATTTCAAGACGAAGCAATTTGATCGGGGTTATTTTTTTATATAAATTGTGCGGGGTCCTTTTAGTATATTATACATATTTTAGTAAACTTTCAACTATTATTACTTACGCTTGTCATCGTTCATTGAAAAGCTATTTAAAGTAGCTAAAACACCGTTCTTCCACCGTGGTACTGTGATGAACATTGTTTTGCGCCAAATGGCCAAACCTAGTGGCATGTTATTTTCCGGGATGTAATCGCCGGAAGCTATGTACTCGTTTCGGATGGTATCATTTGGAAGTTTGAATTCGACCTGCTTCCACGAATAAACGGTATTGAAGGTGTGGCCGGTTGTTGTGGTCAGAAAGGCCAGGAACAGCAAGTAGAACATATCTGTACAAAAAAATCAATTCTCGTACAAGCAACGATTACTGTAAGCGCTTGTAATTCTCACAATCATTTTGATAAGTAATAAATTAAAGTATAAAACTATCTGCAACAAACTGTAAATAATTTCTAAATAAAAAAGGAATGATTCTAAATTTTTATTCATTTTATATTGACGCAAAATTAAATGTTGAGTATCATATCTACAATGCTACAATTATAATGTGATCACAAGTGATTGTCACTCTTGAAAATCTCGCGGATACAGTAAATAATATTTTACTAGATAATTCTTCGCAAGATATCATCATTCATATGAAGAAGCGATGATTATGTGACGACAATGATTATGATTTATTGGAAATGCACGTCCGTGTGTTAGAATCAGGATATTGATATTTATGCATAGCTTTATGAATATATCTATTTTTATAATATTGTATTTAACATGTTATTACTGCAGTATATTTACGATTGACTCAGGATTTTATAATATTTTAACAGTTTTTATACAAAACAATTCAACAAAAGAAACGAAACTCACCATAACGAGGTTAGTCATTTCCTGTAGTTTTTTAGACGCTGAATCCGATTATAGAATTGTTCTGTCACGTCATTTGAAAAATTTACAGGTAAAGTTGCAAAAATGGGTTTTCACTTATTTTTATGTATTTTGTCATATTATAACTTCGAAACGCGACGTGCTAGAGAAGTAGGGACGGAGACTTTTGAATTTTCTGGATGTGGAGTATCTTATTTGAGCGCGGGGGAGGGGGGAGAGAAGGGGGATAATAACACAAATATTTTATCTCTTCTGTTATATATCGAAATATATTTCTACTTCTACATTTAATTTCTTTTCATATTTTTTCTTTACAAATATGAATATTTTTCTTTTAATTTTATCTCGATATCACGCAACAACCAGCTCATTTAAATAATTATTTAAGAAAATTTTTCTTAAATACTCATTATCCAAGGTGTGGAATTCGACACTCACGGGATCTCTGGGTGTGAAAAGCTTTATACACTCCATAAGGAAGTCTCCGTCCCTGGAGAGAAGTGTTCTTGCAATTAAAATTAAATATGTTGTTAGGACTTTCAATCCTCAAAAGGAATTTTTTGTGTCCGTTATGGTTAACAAGTTATTTATTATTAAACATGAGATCCATTATATGGAAAAGCTGTAGCTCTCTAAAAGTGAATCAGTGGAATTATCACTGATTTTCAGTGTATTATATCATTTTCCAGTGGTATGATTTGAACTGCGATAAACAATCGAATATTTCAATGTTTTTTCAGTGCTAATTTACTGTTTCAAACAGTGAATATCACTGAAAGATAGTGAATTTCTCAAAACTGTTTGACAGTGAAACTCACTGTTTTTCAGTGATATTCACTGTTTAAATCAATATATTAGCACTGAAACAACATTGAAATTGTCACTGCTTATCACAGTTCAAAGTATGCCACTGAAAAATGATATATACTGAAAATCGACGATGATTTCAATGATTCACTTTTAGAGAGTGCAGTGAATTGAATCATTGACAATTTACCAAGCAGCTTCCAGCTTTGTTTATTTCAACTTAAGTGTTTTTTAAATTGCTGAATACAAATTCAGTGCATAAAATGGACAAATTCCGAATAGCGGATTCAATATAGCGAATGTTAAAACTTAAAAAAATGTTTAAAAAAGTACAGTGTGCGCGCGCGAATGTTTATAAATAAGTTTTACTTTTTGTGTAAGCTTCAGATTAAAAATGTGGACCCCGAGAAAATAAACAAAATTGGAAATTGTTTGATAAATTGTCAATAATTTACAGCTTTTAATAGACCTCATGTTTAACAATTTTTAACAATTAACTTACTTGTTAACTATAACGAACACAAAAAATTATTTTTGAGGATTGACAGTCTTAACTTAATATACTTAATTTTGATTACAAGTACACTTGTTCAGCACGTCGCATTTCGCAAGTTATAACATGACAAAGTACGTCATTCTTTTACAACTTTACCTGCAAATTTCTCAAAATTGTGGCGTGATGGAGCAATTCTACAAGCGGATTCGGATTCAGCGTCCAAAAAAACTACGGGGAATAATTATAGTCTCATTATGGTGTTCGAAAAAAATGCCAGTTTTTGTTGAGCAGTGTGATTAATGAAATTTATCAGAATTTTTTGTCGATAATATTTTGATTGATGATTTAGCTATAATGTTTAGCTGAAGATTCTTTGTTAAATCTGTATATTGATTCAGACCTTGGAATGTCAATGTCAATAACCTGCTGATGTTAGGCAGTGCCCGAATACTTTTACCATCAACACTCCCTACAGCAAGATATTAATCAAAGCAACCTTTTTTTCTGAGAAGAACAGGATTTACAGGTTCTTCTCCTATTTTGCAGGGCAGTTTTTGTATATAAAAACATAGAAGTATATGTAAATTATTTTTGAATTATGAGTATTTGAAGATGAAGAACAGAATTGTAAGTTTTATAGATGAAAAAAGTGCTAACACATAATTTTTTATTTAATACTACATAAACCTTATCTAAACGAAAATGTTATATTAAAACATTATAGTTGTAATCAACTTATTTAATGTTGAATATTATAGTAATATGAGGAATGAAAATTAAATTTTAATTATAATTATATATTTGTTATATATCTTGAAATTTTGTAAAATATCAAAATATAAAGCAAGAACGAAATTATTACGTACACATATTTTATTTATATTTAGATATAATAAAATCAGAGAAAAGTTTCTTGATGTAATTAATTACCTAAATTAAATAGTAGATTTATAGTCTCTATTGTTAATATTAAAATAAATTTAATAAAAGTTTGTAAAAAGATTTGTTATTCAGTAAGAAAAATTTGTTTACGAGATCGGAGTCAATTTATATTTTGCGTTTTGAGTTATTGGTTTAAGGATAAATTCATAGTTTTAAATATGTGAAAATATAGTGGATTACTTTATATGATATTGCTGAAATACTCACTGCTTGAACTAGTAAAGCAGCCTTCTCTGGAACGACACAAGATAGAATGACGCTATAATATACTGTGGTACCGGCTTTTATACCTTCGCTCAATCGCAAGTGCCGATGGCTTTGGAGTAAAAAAGTTTACGATATATAGATGCTAGGTAAAATGTTGGATAAATACAATCTAAACTTTAAACGAGCAAATTAATTAACAAAGCTATATACATATGTCTTTTTGAATTTATTTTAAATAAATTGAAAAAAATAGTAATTGTATTTTTAATATCTCTTTCTTTCTCTTTCATTTTCCTTGTTATTTCTTTTCTGATATTTCTCATTTTTTAATAATTATTAATAATTACTACATAATTCGTGTTTACATCACAAAGACAAGATATAGATTAAATTATACGTTTGTTTTATTAAATCAAAAACTGGAATGTGGATATGTTTTATAAAGTACTGTATATAAAATTTGATTAATTTACAGAGATGGGAAAGTTGCATTTTAAAAATAGCTCGATCGTTATCGTTATTTTACTTAAAAAAAATTATTGTTACTTTCATTATTATTTCTATTATTTTTTTAATGCTACTAGCATTACAGACGCGTGTTTCGCGCGTACTTTTTACTTTTTATTATATTTGCTATTATACTATTAACCTTATTACACAATATAACATAATTATGCGATGACAGCCGCTCACGAAATAAGTGCAGCGAGACAACTGCCAACAATCGCCATCGTGGAAAAGCGACACCAATACATTTAGAGAGATGTAAATATTGATGTCAGTCTTTTTTTTAGAAAGAAAGAAAATAAGATCAAATTAAAAAAATTTACTTTTTTAATGTTTTTGTTAAAATATTAAGCAAAACATTAAAATTTTGTAATTTAAATTCACAAGATCACAAAAATTTTTGAATACAAATGTAAAATTGTGGTTTTTATTAGAGGAGAAGATTAAAGCCTTTATATTATGGCCTTTGTAACTATAATGGTCTTTTGTAATACATTCGATATTAGCTGGCAAATTCTAGTAATTATTTATGGATTAATACTTTATTTAGTAGTTTGTCGTTACACTATGGCGCTAATGTGCTATAAAATACACAACAGTCGACATTTATTGTAGTGCACTTTTAGTTTCGAGCACATTGAAATGTGTTTCAAGATACATTTTAGCATTTAATTCCTCATACTTACTCATTTTTCTTTAATTTTCTAAACTTATATAGGCGTATTATAAATCGAAAATATGTACGTTTGAGTATTTTCTTCGTTATTTAACATTTTATTCGGTTATACACATTTTGAATTATTCAAAATTAAACAGTAGTAAGGCATTTTGCTAATGCTGCTCCCTAAGCGTGCTAATTGTGTTGCGACTTATTTTTCAAGGTTTTTAAGTAGTTTAACAAATTGATCGTAGCTCTACTGCTAATCTACATGTATATTGATCATATCATATGTATCATAATTTTTAATATTATAAGTTAAATTTCTTATAATTTAACTTTTTTATAATTTAAAAAATTGGTTTCATTTAAAAGAACCCAATATTTGTTTACAAAATTATATAATTAAAAAATAAAATATTACAGAATATACGCAAACGTATAATACATTTGACTTCTTCCGCATATAAATTGCTATCAGTACTAAAAATTTGAAATTTTTAGTACTGATAGCAGTCGAATAATACATTGATTTTCGCATATAGACTGTGATATACCGCAAATATACTGCTATTGGTATTAAAAAATTTTTAATTTTGAATTTTAAATTTTTAGTACTGATAGCGGTATATTTGCGGATATCACAGTCTACATGCAAAAATCAATGTATTATACAACTGCTATCAGTACTAAAAATTTAAAATTTTTAGTCTTGAAAGCAGTATATTTGCGGATATTGCAGTCTATATGCGAAAATCAATGTATTATACGTTTGCGTATATTCTGTAATATTTTATTTTTTTAATTTTATAATCAAATATTGCGTTCTTTTAAATGAAACCAATTTTTAAATTATAAAAAAGTTAAATTATACTTTTAAATGAAACCAATTTTTTATATCTATTTTTGTGGAAAGGAGTCACATTACCATCCCTTCTCTTCGATCTATTATTTAGTGTCGCCACATTTTTTTATAAATAACATCCGAAGTCCTAAATATAATAAATATTTCATAATTTGAAGTCTAAAATCGATTGAACAATTAACGAATGTAATCGTCAAGTACAATATTGATTATTAACAAAATATTTATAATATTGATTATTAATAAAATTAATGCACAAAATAGGAGTCATATATAATATTTATATCTTTTCCCTTAAATTTATAAATATAGCCAAATGTATACCTTTTATCGTTGAATTTAAAAATTTGAACTTGATAATTTTTATTAAATTTGTTCTTAGAATGTATGAAAATACAAAGTTTGTATAATCTGGATTATAAAATATAAACTAAATTTTATCAATAATTTTTATTAATTTTGATAAAAACTGATGTTGTGTTACTACGTAGATAACCTCTTTGTGGTACGTGATAGCACAATGTTGCCAATACTAAATAATCGTAATAATTCAACAACATATATAGTTGCTTGATAATGCAATGTTATATTTATAAACGACTTTTGTAAGTTTCAATATTTTGCGAAATTGTATATTTAAATGTACGTAGTTCAACATCAAAATCTTTTTATTTTAAAATTATTTTTCTCCAGGCTCAGCTCCAGTTGATGTTGTTTGCCGGTGAAAAATAAAAATTCGTAATCATCTTTGTTTACAAATTAGGAATTTTCGCGAGAATAAATGCCTAATAAATTTTTTAAGTAGCTTCCAGCTAGTTTTATTTTTTCCTTCAGTTAAAACTTCTTCAATTGTAGACGTGGAGAAGTTTCGTGGATTATTAACTCTTTTCAAATGTTGTGGAGTATTTAAAATTTGAAAAGTGTATTACATATTATAATTTTTATAACTTTCACATTAATGCAGCTTTGTAATTGGTTTATGATATCTTACAACTATAGTTAAGACAGTTTTAAATAATATATAACAACGTTGAGTGCTAATCAAAGACTGAAAACAGAAATTATGTAACAAATATAATCAAAATGTAAAAAATAAAATTCATTACTGTTACTGGAAAAAAAAGAAAAACTACGTTACTATACGGTTACTATTACAGTTATGAAAAAAAAAGTAACACCGCACATTATCAGTTTATTATTAAAAAGAGAGTAACTGTAACAGTAGCGGCGTTACAATACAAGTTTCTCTTTGACATATTTGGAATTTTAAAGAAATCCTGAAACTAAAAATCCTGAATTATTAAAGCAATCGTCAGATAACGATTAAAATTAAATCATTGATACTGGGCAATGCTCGAGCAATGACTTTATTCTTTTAATGAATTATACGTTAATTTTGATTTAAAAAATCACACTTTGTTGCTCACGCAATTTTATTACGTTGATATAAAGTTTGAATGACTTTTTTATTCGCTGTCACCGATTATAATTGTGATTGTAACTACGTCCGTGTTGTCTGAAGGTTATCCTTAGTTCCTAGACTAAAAGATTATAAATCCAGCAACATGATAATCGTAAATTATTCACGATTTATTTAATTGCGCAAGAGAGTTGAATGGAGGAATTATCTCGTAAGGCGTTCAATTATAAACCAAACATAATCATTTCTAAGAACTTTCCGCGGTGAAGAAAAAGTCCGGAAAATAAATCTCGCATAATATTCGTTGCAAATGCAATAAGATATCTATTTTCTACGCATATTTATATTACAAGAAGTGAAAACGATTGATAATGCTGATATAATATATCGGATATCTGCATAATAATGATGATATTACGATCGCGAAATAGAAAGAGGTCATGATATTTGAAAAATGAAGACAAACAGAATATTGCATTGATTTTGAGTATTTAATAAATAGAAAATGCTTTCCTTACAAATGGAAATTTCTGTTTTTATATACATTCAGTGAAAGATCGTACATAATAATCACGTATACCTATTTATTTGGCAGTAAAAATTTTTTTTAATTAACTTGCTATAAAACATTTTGTCTGAATTTCTTGTAAAACGCATTGGTACAGTTACGTACTTTTCTACCTTTCTATAAAAATATTTTTTTATAATTATTACATATATATATTTTTTTTATCTATAAAACGTCTGCTTTAAATTATAATATTATGAAAAATATGAGTTGGAAACTTGATGAGATGAATGACGCTAGAGCTATAATTTTGTTAATATTAAAATATTATATAATAATAGTAATATAATAAATAGAGATTTTAAATATTCGCACGCGGCTTGCTTTATACGCTGGCATCGACGATTAACGCGGCACGATTAACACTCGGATCACTTGTCATAATTTCATATAACGCGAGCGCGCGTGTGGTATGTGCGTGAGCGCGCGGTCGCACACGGCGGGCGCGCTTTCTCTAAAAGTCTAGAATATACAGTTGAATCTCGATAACTCGTAAATCCCTCGAATTTTTTCCTTTAAAAGCCACTACAATCGCAAAATTATAAACTCTCGTACAAAGTTTCCGTAAGTTCGAATTTTTATGTCAATTCTCTTTTACTCAAACTTTGATAAAAAAAAAACTTTGATTTTTTTATTTATAGCTCCTCCCTTGAGATTCGAGTTATCGAGATTCAACTGTATTTAAGACTTCATTGTGACGGTGATTTTTTCTTTAGAAAGTTGCTTCTGCTTCGAAATCGCCACGTTTTTCCTTCAACTTGCGCTTCCTGCATACAAAAAAAGCAATGTATGTTTTACAATTTAGACTATAACTCAAATCATATTCAGATACAAATGGCAAATTTATATATTTGATTCTATATACGAGCATATATTAAATTCTTCTTTTTAACAATTCCCATATGAAAAATATAAAGAGAGCATCCTGAATATCGTGAATTTTGCCATGCACGTGTCATTGTTCTATTTGCATTATTTACGAAACAACGAAATTGTTCACACGGAAATTGATAATGCATAGAGAAATCAATACTCATCTACGTGCGATACATACGTATGCTCGTATATAGAAATTGTTAATACTTGAAGTACAAAAAATCCTTTTTCTTTACACGTGATTCGTACAACAAAAAATTTAATATGTATGTAAAAAGATTTGTTCACTTACTTCCCGAATTCTTCGCCATCTTGAAGCGTTTCCGGTAATGTGCATTCGGCAGTTTCCGGCAATAACAGGCATAATGCGGATCCAATCAATGGCAAAACTCCAAATATAGTGGGTGGCAGCCACGTTTCAATGTAATTCTGAAATAATATATATATCTACGATTGATAATCTAGAAAACTTATTAGCAGCAGACGACTTTCGGGTTGTTTAGCATATATAAAATTACGGAACGATATTTAATTCAAATCTCCATGCAAAACGGAATCGAAATGTTATTTGTTAACATTTCGAATTATATGTGTATTTACAATCGACTGTAATTAAACTTACCAAAGATACTACAAACGGCGCTAGGATAGAGCCCACTCTGGCGCACATGCTGCTCGCGCCGATTCCGATGTTCCTCACGACTGTAGGAAACAGTTCTCCGGAGAAAAGGTAGACTGTTGTAAACGACACCGACATGCCGACAATACCGAGGCATGCCAAAAGCAGTCTTAACCATGCCATATCTGCGGGAAATGAATAATTACCGATGCCACCCCCGAGATACATACTTAAATGAGGCTCGCAGTTATCATTTGATAGAATGTAACTTTTATCGTAACCTTTCTTAAAGGGTTACACCACCTTGACCGCCTAAAAATCAATCGGTAACTTTGGGAATTTTTTTTAGGAAAACAATAAAAGTAACAAAAAATTCGTTTTAAGGTTTTAATAACACAAGTCTTTAGAAGTAAAAA